TCACTCATCAAGTCCATGCCTCAGAGACTGCAGCTGTTAGAAAAGACAAAGGTGGTGCAACTAAATACTAGTGATGTATTTTGAATGGTCTTTAGTTTATCTGTTTMTCATGATTCCATACTGTTTTCCTCAGAATTGAGTGATTCCATATTTGTTTCCCTGTGCTTGATCAATAAAAGTAACATTCACTGACTTCCACAATGTTTTCTTGATTTTTTTGTGTTTCTTAAAGCCAGAAAGTTGCCATTTGATATTACTTTAGTTTTGTGTCATGTCTGTGATCTGCTTTTGTCTACAAAATTAAACAACTGAATGAACATCCCCTGAGGCCGGTGATTCCGTAGTTTTTGACAGGAGTTGTAGATCTAAAGTTGGGTAATAGTTTACAGATATATTACCTTTCCCCTAATCTGTCTGGTTCACATTAAGTTAATAGTGACAAAAACGTGTCATCATAGTGATAAAAGGTTGATGTGACCTGACAGTCAAACTCTATAAAACAAKCATGTCTGTGTGCTTTTACGTTGTTTGTATAATTTTTGTGAGACAGGGCGTAAGCATCTTTTAATTCTCAATGTTGTGCTCAGAAAAGTTGGTTGCAATTCATCCTGATTTTCATTACAACAGCGTGGCCTCCTGTGGTACCTTGGGCCATCACTAAATTAGTAGTAAGCTTTATAGGGAGTACAACAAATACTTACACAAAAAAAGTGCATCAAGGTACCTTGGGTAATTACTAAAAGGCAACATTTGTGGTATAACTTCTAGACAAAAACTAAAAATGACTGTGTACGAGTAGAAACACATGCTTGTATAAAACACTGAAGAAAAGGTAGTTGGCACAGTCCATTTGGTCACTGATGAAAACATTTTCGTGGCTAAGTCTTTCTCCTCCATGTTGTGTGTCAAGRCTGCCCTCTTGTGGTCTCTTGAAGCACCACATTAAGGAACACATGGCAAACACTGACAGTGCTTGAGCTTTCCTTACAGGCATCCAGTACGTTTAGTTTCAGGGTCATGTAAGACTGCACAGAGTCAACAGAACTATGTGTGCYTGTGTGTTGTCATGCACACACACAGTGAGAATGGGCAATGGCAAAATGCTTTCAGGGTGTGAATTAAACTCACTAGCATGCAGACAAATCCACATGTCTAAACAGACACCATTGGCATTCCACGTGAAGGTACATGTAAACAGAACTCCAGAGGCACTCCTGACCCACTTTCAGAACCTTCATCTAGGCAAGAAGGAGACCTGGGCCCCTGTGACCTGAATGTCTGGAGGCCAGGAGACCGTCTCTCAGGGATGAGAGGCAGAGCTGAGTTTCCTCTGGGACCAGACACATTCCTCTTCTTTTACACTCACTTGTTGTCCATCAGAGATTGGACTTTATGCACCAGCTCACGCGCAATCTTCAAGATATGTTGAACATCATGACGTTCAGCCATCTCTGTGAAAGAGACACAATGTTAGAGAGGCAAGAAAACATTCTATCCATGCATTGTGCATGTGTTTCTGCCAATTTAGACAACAAATGTTCCTGACTGTAACTGTTATTGATGAAGCTAAAAAAAGATAGCCTTTGATTGAAGCTCTTCAATTATTCAACCATAAATCTCATCATTTATATTTAGATGACAACCCTATGCAACATTTAGTAACATCATTAAAAGTTTAGTCCAGTCATCTTTGAATTGATCTTCTGTCTAGTAGTTATCAGTAGTTAGTACCTTATTAGCAGCGATATCAGTCATAGAGCGTGGTTATAGAGAAACAGGCAAAATCATTTCACAATCATGATTGTTTTTCCTGCTTGGCCTCCAGAAGAGTTGGATGCTTTTTGCTCTCTCTCTCCCGAACCTCCCTGTTTTCCCTGCTTTGCTGCCGGATCAAGCCTTTTTCTACCTATCATTCGACAACAAAAGAACAATGGATCTGGTCAACTGGTCTCTGAATACAATCAACACCATTTTTTCCACACTGTGATTGGAGTGATGGGAGTGAGTTTGTCCCAGTGGAACCGTGGCGGCTGGGCAAGTGTCGGGGAGCTGGGGGTGGAATCTGATCTGCCTGGTCCCGCTTTCCATTGAAGACATCGAAGATGTGTGTATATTCGGATATACTGTATGATAATCGGATTCCTTCTGATCATCTGTGGAGGAGTTCTGGATTATCGGAAAATGAAAACAATCCTGACAGCAGTTGGGGCCTGTGYGAAGCTGTCAGGAACCCTGGATGGAGTCTCCTGTACTGGAAACCCACAGAGTTAAATGATGGGGGATATAAGTCGCAAACTGGGTGTGTTTCTGGCTAGGACCGCAGCCCAGCAGTGTGCCCATGAAGAGTAAGGCAAAACCTGGGTGAAGTTCATTCGGGAGACGCAAGAAGGTAAACGAATCTGGAATATTGGCATTTTTCGCAACACAGAGGCACAGTTAAGACTTTAAGCAATGGAAGAAAAGACTGCTGCTTGTCCCAAAGAATTTTTTATTATTATTTTATTTCTACCCATTGATCACGGACTTGGATCTGACTGCTGATAATGTTATAAAGGGAAAATCTGAACTAGATCTTACTTGACTCTGGAGAGAAAACTGTTTCTTTAATACTATTTTACCTCTCAACCTCAATTTTGTTTCTCAACCTCCATTTTGTTTTCAGCTGGAGGTCTTTCTCTCTCTCTCCAGTTCTTTTGTATTAATGATAATGTTATCTTTTGTGACTCTCACCCTGGCCATCATGTCTGCAGGACTCACTTTGGAAAACAATACATGTATTCAAGCTGATAGGCCCTCCCTCCCACTGACCTCACAGGATTCAGGCACAATCTCATGGAAGTCCATCGAGCTCACAAACTGGTTCCTCATGACTTTTCTTCCCAAAACAACAACTACCTTGGATCTAAGAGCTTGGTGCATCTTTGTAATGAAATACCACTTCATCCTCACTGAATCTGAACTCTGTGATGATGTGAGATGGAGAACTGTCACTACTGGAGCACCTACTACTGTAAAATGGAAAACTTTAATTGATTTGTTATTTCTTCTCTCTGGGATTGAACCAAACCCTGGACCCCCACAGCTACATGACATGTGTACACCATTTGAATTTAAAAACTGGTCCGGTCTGGGTTTTTTACATTTGAATGTCATAAGCCTTATATCCAAACTAGATGCAGTAAAAATCTGGGTTCAGTCCATGGAAGCAGACATAATAGTCTTATCTGAAACATGGCTCAGCAAAGCTATCTCGGACAAACAAATTTCCATTCCAGGTTTTAACATTTTTAGATGTGATCGCCCCAAAAGAGGTGGTGGAGTGGCTATTTACATCAGGAACAAAATCACAGCAAAACTTTTGTCTTCTTGTTCAATTAGCAAACAGCTTGAGCTATTGGCGCTAAAACTAGACTTCCCTGATGGTCAGTCAATCACTGTGGTGGGTTGTTACAGACCCCCTTCAGCTGCCAGTGAAGCCCTCACGTCCCTGAGAAATTTTCTGATGGGGCTAAATGCTAATGAGCTTCTACTAATTGGTGATCTAAACCTGGACTGGTTGACCTCTACATCTGACWATCTTAAATCCATCTGTGAATCTTTTAATCTAACACAACTAATTCAAACATCAACATGTCCAAATAACAAAAACCTGAAAAATCCACCTTACTGGACCTTATTCTAACAAACATGCCTCACAAGTTTACTGATACAGGTGTGTTCGCTAARGACCTCAGTGATCACTGCATCATTGCAGCCATGAGAAATGGAAAATTACCAAAAAGTAAACCCACCATAATCTTCAAAAGAGATCTAAAACATTTCTGTGAGCAGGCCTTTCTTCATGACCTAGCTACTTTTAACTGGAGTAGAATTTCATTGATTGATGATGTAGAACCAGCACTGGCTTACTTTCACAAGGGTTTTCAAATTATAATCAAAACACATGCTCCATACCGTAAATATAGAGTAAAGGGACGTAAAAATCCTTGGTTTTCCCCCGAGATAGGAAACCTGCTAAAAGAAAGAGACGCTGCCTTGGCTAAGGCCAGAAAATCAAAAAATGAATGTGATTGGATCYTTTTCCGGCAGCTCAGAAATAAATGCACAACCCAAATTAGAAATGCTGAATCGAATTACTTACCTGGACGAGTCCACCATAAATCTAAATGATCCAAAAAATTTCTGGCAAACAGTAAAATCAAACTCTGGTCAAACAACAACAACTGATTTACCCAGCTCCATTATGACCAGCTCTGATATTCTGTCCGACAAATCATCAATTCTTAACTGTTTTAATGAACACTTCATATCCTCTGGCTCCCTGTTTGAAACTACATATCAAGAAATGATATCTTCAGACCAAACTGATCCAATTCCACACCCAACTCCACACGTGACAGACAAACCAGTCTCAAATCTCTTTGAGTTTTCCCCTGTATCTCCCTCTGAGGTTCTAAATGCTCTAAAAACTCTTGATACCCACAAAGCAGCAGGACCTGCAAATTTCATTGCCGAACCACTTTCATATATTTTCAATCTCAGCCTCAACACAAATACAAAACCAAAAATCTGGAAATCAGCTTTTGTTCTCCCTCTGCTAAAAGGGGGTGAACAAACTGATGTTAACAACTACAGACCGATTTCTAAACTGTGCATTCTTGCCAAACTGTTTGAAAGACTCATCTGCAATCAGTTAACTGATTTCCTACAATCAAACAATATTTTATCACAGTTTCAGTCAGGATTCAGYAAACAACACAGCACCGTTACCACAGTTCTAAAAGTACTAAATGATCTCATTCATGCCCTGGACTGCAAACAATACTGTGTTGCACTATTTCTAGATCTATCCAAAGCATCTGACACAGCTGGTCACAGGCTACTAACAAACATCCTGGAACACTCTGGTCAATCAAAGCATGCAGTCTCCTGGTTCACCAACTATCTGACAGAACACAGTCTGTTCATGTAGCTTGATCCTTCTCTACCTTCTTAGATGTTGTGAAAGGGGTGCCACAGGGTTCTGTACTGTGTCCCATTCTTTTCTCCCTTTACATCAACGACCTGTGCAGCAATCAGTCAAATGCCTCCCATCATTACCATGCAGATGACACCATCATCTATTGCTGTTCATCCTCCCTCAGCCAAGCTCTCTTCAGGACACTTTTAATATCATTCAGTCACATCTGCAAAAACTTAAACTGGTCTTAAACACTGAAAAAAGCAAGATCATGGTCTTATCCAACAGAAAACAGCAATCAGTGAACCCACCTCAAATCAAAACCAAACAGGGAAATCTAATAGAAATTCAATTCAATTCAATTCAACTCAAAAATACTTTATTGATCCCAGAGGGAAATTAGGTGAAATGGTCTCCACCTACAAATACCTAGGTTTCTACATTGYTAGTGACCTGTCTTTTAAAACACACATCTTCAAAATGGCCTCTAAACTCAAACTGAAGCTAGGCTTCTTCTTCAGAAACAAATCCTGCTTCACATGCAAAGCAAGGAGAATATTAGTAGCTGCTACATTCATGCCGATATTAGATTATGGTGACGTGCTCTACATGAGTGCTGCATCAAAATACCTCCAGTCCTTAGACTCCATTTACCACAGTGCTCTTCGGTTCATTACTGACTCCACTTATCAGACTCATCYCTGTGACCTTTACGTCAAATCTGGCTGGACATCTCTCAACGCCRYCAGATATACCCACTGGATATCTGTCATCTACAAGACCCTACTAAACCTAGTCCCATCATACCATACAGTACCTCCTTAATACAAACATCACACAGTCATTACTGGCTGCACTCTAACCATCTAGTCCTCCTGTCAGTGCTTCCAGTCAGAACTGAACTAGGATTGAAAAAGAGCATTGAGATTCACAGCCCCTCAGCCTGGAACAACTTACAGACAGATCTGAAACTGTCAACACTCATCCCCCCTAGATCCTTCATGTCAACTGTAATAGATAACATCGTCAAGAAACGACCGTTGCAGATGTTTCCAAACACTACCTATCCATTACACATGTCACTGTTGTTTTTTACTGTATCTACTCAAACGATGCCTGTATGTTTTTATTCATTGACTTATTTTTTCTCACCTAAATTTCTTTTCAGGTCTACCAAATATTGTAAATACCTAAAGAATTGTTTCTTATCCGGATGTTTCTGAACTGTCAACATCTATTTATTGTGATTGTAGTTTTTTTTTTCCTTATTTCGTTTTGATTAATGCAAATGCTTTGTCACTTACTATGTGACGTGTGCTGATGACCACCTGACCAGGTCACCCTTGTAAAAGAGATCTCGATCTCAACGGGCTCTACCTGGTTAAATAAAGGTGATTGATTGATTGATTGAATTATTTTCTATCATCGGATTCCCACAGCTGTGACGTTAGTCGCAGGCTGATAAAACCTCCCTGGGATGATACTTGTGGA